CAATACTTTTTGAGTTATGTAAAAAAAACTACAGGGGGGGTCAAATTGACCCCCCCCCAGCGGGAATAGGGTTAAGAATGATTAAAATACTTAAAACACAAAAGATTATGTATGTTGCTGAAATGCCGATTTCTTCAATTTTTTTAAATTTTTTTTTCAAATTCGCAAAGAACTTTTATAGAGAAAATACAATCAGAATTGAAAGAATAAAAAATTGCATCGGAAAATCCGCTCTATCAATGGACACTGGACAGTCATTTACAATCACTTCTACCGTCCCTCTTATATTTGTTGGGAACCCTTTAAGACAGGTTAGGATCATAAAATTATTACGCATTTCTAAGTGACTTCTAAACTTTGAAGAGTTCCATGACCGAAAAACAGTTGAACCAGCCTTGTCTGACAACAAATGATGCATTGCGCAGCAGATACATTACTGGAAATTGAAAGAATTCCTGTCTATTTAAGACAAAACAAACCTTACAATGGGCTGAAGGGTACCGTTGTGCATCGGGTGTATAACGTTTTTAAATTGAGAACTACCTAAGACTGGGTTGACTTAATATAGCAAGCAATATTATAATGTATCTGTCACAGTTTATCACACAATTTATATTTCAACAGTTTCTTCTGCAGTATAGTAGTAAACTATTTAATATTTATTATTTTGCTTTATTATCATGTTCTCTTTTGTTTTATTGTTTGTAAACCTTCTATATAATTACCACTTAACAACCCTTTATTACTTTCATTTAAACATAACGTAAACTATAGGGATCTTTCAGAACAATACTTATAAATTTACTTTACTATTATTTAATATTTTGTAAAATGTGAAATAATTTTAAAAGAAAACTCACAATGAGAACTTTAGTATAGTATATACATACTAGCTGAAGGGCCCGGCGTTGCCAGTGAAGATTTTTTTTAAGATTTTGGAAAAAAAACTTTTTAACATTTTTTAGCCTATAACACCCCCGGCCACCCCTGAGTGTCCACAAAAAAATTCAGCCCAATCAGTCCAGCCGTTTGGCCGGCTATTGGCAACATATACAGAGCGTCCCATATCATATTAGACTATCTTTAACGCTAAAATACGCAAATAATACTCCAAAAATCTAGCATTTTCTGCAAGAAAAATTTCTATAATTAGCCTTATTAAATTTTTCAAAATGAATCATTCTTCTCAAATTTTATGATTTGTCCCCCAAATCGTAATTTAGACCCATTGACGCGGTCTAATTTGATGTGGGACACCCTGTATATATATTCGAATGTCTTTTTTTATTTTATAGATGAAGGTACAAATTCCAGTCGGAAATTTATGCCTGAATTTAGCTTTTGGTTAATTTAGTTTCCGAAACGATATTTTTGGGCATTTTTTTTCTTTTATTAAAAAGTACTAAAATATTAAACAAATTAAGTTCATATGAGTGACATTTTTCAATTCTAACTATATTTAAAACTATTTATTAAAATATTAATTGTGTTAGATCAAATATTCTAAGTTCGAAATATCAAAGGTTTATGACATCAGGTTGCAAGAATATAAGAATTAGAAAATTAAAATTTGTAGCCAAGACTCTATTCCCTTGTAAAAAAGAGAACCACGGACATGTTTGTAGCTCGGATATAGTAATAAGGTGACTAACCTTCCAAGCTATAGTTTATATAAAAAGAGAACCACGGACATGTTTGTAGCTCGGATATAGTAATAAGGTGTCTAACCTTCCAAGCTATAGTTTATATAAAAAGAGAACCACGGACATGTTTGTAGCTCGGATATAGTAATAAGGTGACTAACCCAGGCAAAACTGGATTTCCAAGCTATAGTTTATATAAAACTTAATTTTGGTCTTTTTATTTGTACGTCAGATCAGAACTTATGAACCTCTTGACCGATTTAGATTAGGGAACTTAGTTGAGGAATGAGTTGGTTGGCTTTTATAGCGAAAGGTTAGTTTCCAGGCGTAACGGAGTTCCCAATTGGTAGTATAATTATAAAGTTAGCCATCTCTGATCATAACTCATGAACCCCTCACTTTGTTTCAAGGCGGGCTCCCAAGCTAGTATATATTAATTGTAGTCTCTGTTTGCTTATTTGTATATCAGATCATAACTCATGAACCCCTCACTTTGTTTCAAGGCGGGCTCCCAAGCAAGTATATATTAATTGTAGTCTCTGTTTGCTTATTTGTATATCAGATCATAACTTATGAACCCCTCACTTTGTTTCAAGGCGGGCTCCCAAGCTAGTACATATAAATTGTAATCTCTGTTTGCTTATTTGTATATCAGATCATAACTTATGAAGGCCCTTATCGGTTTAGATTAGGGAACTCGATAGAACCAAAGAAATAATCTAAGTTTGGTTTTAATTGTAATGTAAATATCAATTTAAATACAAGTTCTACACGTTTTCTATAGTACAACTTTTTTCAGAAGTACTTTTAAATAGTAAAAGATTAAAAAATCCTTCTGTGCAAAAACAATGAAATTTAGAGTTACAAGATTACCAAGTCCCATGAGTAATTTTCCGTAAGTCTAGATTGTAGTGTTGCCAATGTTTATATAGTTATCGATTATTCTTCACGAGGGGTAGATTATGTAAGTGATTAGATCATGTTGGTGATAACACCCCTAGTTATTGAACTATAGATACAGGGTTACCCACAAAGGATGAAACGATTGTACGGATTCATACTGTCTGTTTCCTTATTCACGATTTAATGTAATTGTAACCTTGCTTGTTTCTCAACAAAATCATTTTATAAGCAATTAGATTACTATATCTATGGCAATATACGTAATTAAACTTTGGGATGGTCTCCGATCATCTTTACAGTCTCATCCTTTGTGGGTAAATTTCTCTGAACTACTTACTGCCGGTGAAAATTTGAACCACTGATTCATAGGTAAAGAATGAGGACGGATTAAAATCGGTGGAATAGAAATCAGTGTAAGCAATAATAAAACAGTAAAGTTATTTGCAAAAAAATGAATGAGCTTTTTAATTTATTTTATAAAACTAACAATTGTGATAAATTGCAGAAAAAGTTGTAAACATTATTGGTACTTTTGCTTTTCTTTGTTTTGAATAATATCTCACTCTCATCTAAAACCCGCAATTTTTCTGGTCCGTGTACAGTAGATCACGGCAGAACACAAAGAAAGCTTAGTTTAGGGTAAAATATTATCGTTAAAACATCTTGAAATAAAGAAAACGGACATTTTTTTACTTAAAGAAATTTCCAGCGACCTTGAAAATTCTAAAATGAAGCAAATCTTTCCTTTTTGAAATTTTTTTGAAATCATGACGAAAAGTCATAAAAGAAACTTAGTTTCTGACACAAACTAACAATTTTCTAACCCCTATATTTTTTCAAATTAATGGTTTATACCTTTGATATGTCAAACTTAGATTATTTGATCCAACAGAATTCATTACTTGAAATATAAAAGGTCCCCCGACATTGTGTTGCAAAGATATAGGCCAAGTATTAGAGAAACTCCGTTCCTTTAAAGCAAAGCTTAGTTCATTTGGCGTAAAAATGACAAAAGTGCTTTTCCCTGAATAAAAGTGAAAGTTCTATTAAAAAGATTGACCTAGAAAACATAAGGACTAATGAGCAAAGTTCTCTAGAACAATTACATAATTTGAAAGAAAGTAGAACAATCATATTATACTTTCCATTTCATTTCATGCCAGTGCATGGAACCCATAAAACTGTATTTAACAGGAAGTGTGTCTTTGATATTTTATACAGCAAATTGTTATTAGCTTAAAGATTAAGGGCGTTTACAGAAATAAATCTAGGGTGGTGGGGGGGGGGGGGCAAATATGCGCGAAGTTTTTTCAGATTTGAAAAGTTTGACAGCTCGGAGTTCTAGGGGATGCACTTGCCTTCATACCCCCCCCCCCCCTATATACGCCCTTACTTATTAAGCGAAATGGGTTGTTGTATACTCAGTGCACAATCAATGTTCTTTGGACTTTTCACAATCCTAACTTGAGAATAACAGTCGTCTTCCTTTTCTACAGTTTTATGTTTACCACTGTAGAATAATGAAATATTTTATAGTTGTGTGTTCCAATTTACAGTATAATTTAGTTTAATAAAGAGGTGAAATGTAAAATATGAAAAGTTTTTTATGTTTATTATTTTAATACGTTGGAATCCACTGCATCCCTATGAACAATGTAATATCGATTATATTTCTTATGAACTATACACTCTCTATTATACTTCTCTATAAACTATATAATCTCTATTATTATACCTCTTATACACTTTTTTATAATAATCTAAATTATCTTTATAAAAAAATTATTTATGTTTTGATTTTTGTCATATGTTTTAGCTATTCATGTTTGATTCCTTGGAACCTTTTATAGTCATCATATTCTTCGTATAAAATAAATAAAGCACTACAGGGAAAAAATGAACAATAGGCTCCATTAACCTTTGACAGTTCCTGGGGTTTGATGAAAGCGTTTTAGAAACTACATCAGGGAGACGTAAAAATTTTCAGGAATTCCCAGTTGGTGGTATTATTTTCCTTTTTTTACATTAGAAATTTTGTTTTTCGTGAGTTTTAAAGATTTTTAATCTTTACACACAGAGTTACCTACACAGAATAAGACTTTAAAGACGACTTAAAACTATAAAAAAAATGACAAATGTAAGCTTTATTTTGTTTCTGAATTCAAGCAGAGAAATAAGACAGTTTTGGGAGTTTTGGTTTACAAGGAACCCTGAATGTAAGAAAACGGACTGAAGAAACTCTGTACAATCGTCTATGAAGTCTCATCCTTTTCTATAGATGTAAATAGCCCCAAAATTAAAATTGGGGTTATATGTCATTTATTCCGTGCGTCTGTGTGCCTTCTAAAAATTCAAACGAAATATTACCTAAAAGTGTCTATTCCTTATTTTTTTGGGAAATCCATCAACGTGGATGGAATAATCCTCGAAATATTTAGTGTTACGATGTTTAAAGAAAGAAATGACGGCTCTAAAAGTGAATTTCAAAGCAAAGAACTAATAAATTCATTGACTGAGTTAATTATATGTGTTTTTTAAAGTTAGGTTTTGGTAAAATATGAAACCTTGAAAGGTAAATGAGCGCCTTTCTATTTTATATAGTTTCCGTGGAGACTATATCCAAGGTCCAGGGTGAGGTTTTATGTTTCACCGTGTAGTACTAAAACCCATTCCAACCATGACACACCGAACCCTTCTCCTCCTCCTCCTTATACCACCACACACACTTCTCCAGCGCCAGAAACCCGGTTGTCCTCCTCCAATAGGTAGAGATGGGCATATTTTTTGTAAACGAATGAAACATTTCAAAACAAACAAAGTTTTTCGTAAACGATGGTGTTGTTTAAATTAATCGATCAGTCAGACCGTTAACGAATTTTAAGAAAAATATCGTTTATATACTGGACTAACGATTTTTCCAAATACATCACATGGTATTACTGAACAAACGATCGTTGCGTCAGAAAACGAACAAAATAGATGGAATATGAACTGTAATTCTGAAAACATTCGACGAAATTTTTACTGAGTGACAGAAAAAAACGAACGAAATGGGTCGTTAACGAACAATGAAACAACGAATAGAAAAAAACGAACCTGCTCATCTCTAACTATAGGAGAGTTTGTTGATTACCCAGAGATAGTTACTATTCCTAAACTTTTAAACCAGGAGGTGGCAAACCTAACAGTAATTGATAATAATTATTTCGGAGAAACACGTTGCAGCATCCCACAGGTATACACATACAGCCAACATAGGCGCATCCGTGGTGTATTTAGTGGGAGGGGGGATTTACATCGGTGTCCTTATTAGATTTTTCTGATCAAGAATGTTTCAGATATCAATCATCTTCATCTTGAAAGTTGACTATTTTCGATTGTGGTTGTCTGGATATTGACTTGCGTATCAGAAACTATACGCAGGAGTTACGTTGAATATGTCTACGAATTCAATGAGTTACGTTGAATATGTCTACGAATTCAAGGAGTTAAGTTGAATTTGTCTACGAATTCAAGGAGTTAAGTTTAATATGTCTACGAATTCAAGGAGTTACGTTGAATATGACTACGAATTCAAGGAGTCAGGTTGAATATGTCTACGTATTCAAGTAGTTAAGCTGAATATGTCTACGTATTAACGGAGTTAAGCTGAATATGTCTACGTATTCAAGGAGTTAAGATGAATATGTCTACTTATTCAAGGAGTTAAGTTTAATATGTCTACGTATTCAAGGAGTTAAGTTTAATATGTCTACGTATTCAAGGATTTAAGTTTAATATGTCTACGTCAGGGAGTAAGGAATAGAAGGGAGAGACAACTGACGCGGTTCGCCCTACCATATGATTATACATGCTTTGCAGACGGTACTCCATTTTATATCAAGCTGTTTGGTTTCTTTAGTAGGGCCCCACAGGAAAAATGTGTATTGGCGAAACTGGTCAAAGAAAATTGAGCCAATACATATTTTTCCTGTGGGGCCCTACTAAAGAAACCAAACAGCTCGATATAAAATGGAGTACCGTCTGCAAAGCATGTATAATCATATGGTAGGGCGAACCGCGTCAGTTGTCTCTCNTTACGTTGAATATGTCTACGAATTCAAGGAGTTATGTTGAATATGTCTACGAATTCAAGGAGTTACGTTGAATATGTCTACGAATTCAAGGAGTTATGTTGAATATGTCTACGAATTCAAGGAGTTACGTTGAATATGTCTACGAATTCAAGAAGTTAAGTTGAATATGTCTACGAATTCAAGGAGTTACGTTGAATATGTCTACGAATTCAAGGAGTTAAGTTGAATATGTTTACGTATTCAAGGAGTTGTGTTGAATATGCCTACGATTTTAAGTTGATACTAATGATTAACATTTAAACTGACTTTATTAGCAAAGAAACATTAAACAGCTACAGCTGTACAGTGTACAGCTGTACAGTGTACAGTGTACAGCTGTACAGTGTACAGTTAAAATCTGAAGTAAAAATAAAAAAATGCCCTTGCTATCAATGCCATTGATATTATTATATGCTAGATGAAATGCCCAGCGTTGCCCTAGAAAATTTTAAATAATCGACCGGGGTACCCATTGGTTCCCTCAACAAATTTCAGCCAATTCGGACCAACTCTTTGGCCTAACATGTATATAAATATATATGAGCGAAGAGCTTTCTTATATAGATTACTGATCTTTGTGACAGAAACAATCTCAAAAACTGACAAGGGTCAACCCAGACCGAAATATTTTTTCAATAAATGTGGAACTAACATCTACTTTTTTTACTCTACAGAGGTTTGGTCCATCACCATCACCGAATTTGGAATCAAATTAAATATGTTACTATAATACTTATATACATTATATTTATCATTAAAACACTAATCAATATTTGGTATGGATCAGAGATTTATAAAAATAGCGTGTTTTTCCTAAGTGAGTTTTAAAATTTTAAAGATACCTCGTCACAATTTCAAGTGAACTTTAAAAAGGGACGGGATAAAAAAACATTATTTATTAAAATTAGGATAAGTAATTCAAAATCCAATAAATAATTTTAAACCATATTCTTTTACATGCAAACAAAAATTGCTAAATAATTCATATCTCATTTTTTTCATTTTAAAGAAAAAATTAACTTTACACATCTATGTAATAAAACAAGACATTCGTATGTATGCTCCCTCCGGACCGAATGGGCTGAAATTTTTTTCAGGCCCTTCAGCTAGTGATACATAATACCCAGAAGAAAGAAATTAAGTTAGAAATCAAATTTTTTCTTTAAATTTAGTTTAGACAATCATATATTGTTTTTATACATTAAAAATTTAAAGGTTTGTCTACATTGTCAATTGTTTGCCCACAAACTAGGCTAAATAAACCATTTTTATAATCATATATGAACAATTAATCATCCTCTTATCATAAGTACATTGGATACTGCACCCGCCACAAGCTTTTTTTTTACTTGTATCGACATAAAAAAATCAATTACAGAAAATTAATATTTACATTCTAATTTTTTAAAACCACATTGGACAAAAATGCTCTGAAATTTTAAGGAGTATATTTAACGTCAACCGAGATGAATTCGCTCAGCATGTTAGCATACACTTTTGACACCATTTTAGAGAGAGAAACCAAGTTGTTAAGAAAGCTAGCTCGTTTTTAATTGTGACAATAGTTACCTATCGTTAATGATCATTAGCGAATGTCGTTTTTCGAGAGTTTTTAAATACAATTCTATGTTCATCACAAATGTGGCAAAATCTGGATGGATTTTTGGTGTTAACATATTTAAATTCCATTACCAACCCTCCAGCGATAGCTTTCTTATAGGAAAGTAAAACACGAAATAAGAATTTTTAAAATCTCAATAATGCATTAATGTTACGCAAATGCATGGCCTAATACGCATTTTCATTAATAACAGTAATATTTTTACTGAATATATCTATGTATACTTTGCAAGGTCGGTACTCGGTGTCAATATAAAGGAAAGCAAACTAAAAAAAGATCAATATTAATTAAAGTCAGACTGTCAGTTGATTCTGTAATTAGAATTTCTAAACCAACTTGTAGATAATGTTTCAACCAGAAAGCAGATTTAACTGGATACAGCTATATATAAAAACCTTGAGTGTAAATTAATTTACCTGTCTCTGTATAGTTTTCATAGTACTAAAGCGTTATGCTGAAGACATTTTATGTAATTTTTTTTAAATATCCGAAAATTTTGGTCAGAAAAAATACTTTTGATAAATTATCTGCCAAACTTTGCATATTCAGGTTTTATTTAAAGATAATTTAAAATGATTTTAAATTTTTACCAAAACAGTTTAGTGCAACAGATTAATTTCTATTGAATTAAGCCTTTGCCACAAACCTTGATTTTCTAATCCCTATACCTTTGCAAACCCCAAAGTCATAGTCCTGAGATATTTCTAGCTATGCAATCTGTTAGAAAGCTTTAGGGAAAAGAAAATTTGAGTTTGTGGCAAATAACGAATTCCTTTGTTTAGAATCTCCAAGATGATAAGCACACAGTGTTCAACAGCTTTAGGCTAGAGGAGGGTCAGCTTAGGAATAGGGAGGAGAACAGAATTCATACCAATATTTTACTGGAACCCAAGTAGATTTACCATTTTATTCCAGAGCAATAAAACAATGATTTTTACAAATATAATAGTTTTAAATGTCATAAAATCAGGATTATTAACAAAAATTCAAACAATTTTTTCTTAAATTTTTCAATTTACTACTCAGTGATAACTAAAAAGCTCTAAAATAGGACGACGACTTTTATATAGAATTAAACTATAAAGCTCTAAAATGACTATGAATTAAAGCCTAGCAATTATGCAGTGTAAACAGACCCATTTTACTTACTTAGTAATTTAATTAGTGTCTAGTAAACTATTTCCTTTGTAACAACGTCATATATAGTTAAGTATTGCTATGATGTCGTCTTTCTATTTGATTGTTTTGTGGCAATCCCTGTAAGTAGTTTACAATTTGTGAGTTCTGTTCCTCTTTGAACAGGATAAAGCACTGTGCTATATATGTTGACTCTGTGGACTTCCCTGACAATGTTCTAGCTGTAACTGTATTGCTGGTCTCAGAGTTTATCCCTGCACTGGCCTACTGCAGAGGACCCATATCTGCCACTGCAAGGATCATGGTGAAATTCTGTGATTCCTGTACACAAGTACAGACTAACGAGCAGGGAACAGCTGATGTTGGAGCTACCGGACAATACGGAGCCAATGTGGGGACAAGCAATCAAGGATTAGTGGGTATAAGTGGCAAATGGGGGGAAAATAGTCAAGGTGTAACTTATATAGAGGCTGTTGGCCAAGACCCTGGCAGAAAACCAGAAGAACCACGACAGAAAATAACTAATTCTGCTCCTAGTAGGCCTGAAGCTTATATTCCAGAGGCATCAGGAGAACCTGGCATAAGTGTAGGCTCAAACAGGCAGGGAAAAGAAAAGGATATCTTGAGTTCTGGTGAACAAGGAAAAGTGAATTCAGGGGCAAAGATTCAAGGCTTTGATATGGGGGCACGGCATCAGGGTGTGACAAATGTTGGGTCAAGCGGGGGCGGGGCTGGTAATTTATGGGAAAATGGCCAGGGAGTTGGAAATACAGGACAAGGGGTAACCAATGTGAGGGCAAGTGGTCCTGGTTCAGTTAATCTTGGAACAGGTGGTCAATGGGAGGATAATGTGAGATCAAGCGGAAAGGGTATTTCAAAAATAATCACTAAAAATGGAATGGATCTGGAAAAAAAAATTACTGTAAGACGTTCTGAGGAAGAGTCGGATTTGGCTAATCTTGGTCTCAATGTTGAAGAAGATCCTAATTATCCAATTCTCATTGGTCTTGTGTTTGTGGTCACTTTAATAGCTCTCAGCCTAATTATTGGAGTTATATATTTCTGGTGTCCAGAAATATGTGCCTGTTGCATAAGAAAAAGCCACAAAAGAAATGATTTGAATGGGACAACAAAAATTTTGACAGTTAAAGATAACTTTGGCAATATCATCTCTGAAGCAAAAACTGTAGAAGTCTGGAAAACTGGAGAAAACAAAATTAAAACATATGATATCCTGACTAGGGAGCTTAGTGGTCTGAAAAAAAATAATAAGGTTGGATACAAGGAGCTTCAAGAAGATCCAGATGGTTCAAACTTTAATAGCAGAGAAGAATCACACAAGGAAGTGCGTACACTACCACAGGATGATGGAGAAATAATCATTATTCGTCAACCTAATAATGTTCAAAACATGAGCAGGTTAACATATCTAGAAGAGCTGGATCCCAGAACCCTCACTCCATACCAATCTGTTCATCCTAATCACGGAAGGTTATTTAGACTATTAAATAGGCCAGAACCTGAGCGAAGATACAGTCGGCAGTATCTTAATGTTGAAAATCCTCGTTCTTATAGATCTGTTACTCCACTGGATCTTGTCAGTGTTAATGGAAGTGAGAATAATCTGAACTTCTCTCGACACTACTCTAATAACTCCAGGGCAGGGCAGGTCATCATGGAAGTTGATCCAAGAGAAAGAAATAGACATCATTCTTACAGGAACCTAGACTCTGACAGAGATTACAGAAGAGAAGATAGACATTGGGAGTCAAGGTATGATGAAATGGATAGTCCTAGAAAATCTGATGTACAGATTCTAACAGTTCATGCAAATGACAATGACAGTGAACACAGTTACAGAAGTCTAAATGTTATACCAGAGGAAAATTTTAGTCCACGGTATCAAAACAGTAGCAGCCAATATCCAACCATTGAAGAACGAGGAAGACCATTACAAAGGTCTGAAAGAAAAGAAAATGAAAAAAGAGATCAAGGAGTAAATACAGACAGTTACAAAGAAAGAAGTAAAAGTCTCCAGGATCAGAGATCACCAAGGAGAGACAGTAAAGGATCCCTAACAGAGAGAAGTAGAAGTTTACAGGATCATAAACGAGAACGATGGGAGAGTCCTCGAAAAGAAACTTCCAAAGAAAGGAGAAGCTTCCTGGATCAATTTCAAGAGAGATGGGATACCTCAGGCCCTAATAAAGAAAGTTTTAAAGAAAGGACTAAGAGCATACAGCGAAGAGATATCAATGGTTTTAACAAAGAAAGAAGCAGAAGTTTCCAGGATCCAAAAAATAGTAGCAGAGATCCAATTAAAGAAAGAAGCAAGAGCTTACAAGATCAAAAAACTGACAACAAAGATGATCAGGTAGAGGTACAAAAGCATGCAAGAAGGTTCAGCAAACTACCAACTAAAAATTCAATTCAGAAGAACATTTATTATCAAGATTCTTATGCAAGAAATATTAATGCTCCATACTACTACCAGGAAAGAGAACATGAGAGAGAAATTGAAAGTTTGTTAAGGCAAAATGAACTGAGAAGAGGTGACCTAAGACTTGGTAGAAAAATAAAAGATGAGCGTGCAAATTATCTCCGAATTCCTGATCGCAGAGATGAAGCTCCATCTCATGAAAGAGAAGAACCTAGGCAGTATCAGTCTCAAATTCAAGAGGTTATGTCTACCTTTTCAACTATTGTTGAAGGTGAACCTAGTGATTATGAGGATGATGATCAAAATTCACCTGAAAGAGAATCAGCTCCAAATACTGCCAAACCCAACTCCGGCCAGGAGGAATCTGCCAGCAGCACTGCTCGGACTGATGCAGCTGATGTTAATCAAACTGAAACTGGAGAAAACACTTTTAGATCTGAAGAAGCTGAAGCAGAAGGCCCCCCATCAGATCCCAACTCAGAAAATCAACCCCTAATTGAAGAAGATTCGGGAGATAAGCAAGGTGAGGAAGAACATGAGGAAGAAAAACAAAATCAGCAAGAACATGAGGAAAATAAGCAAGATGAGCAGGAACATGAGGAAGAAAAACAAAATCAGCAAGAACATGAGGAAAATAAGCAAGATGAGCAGGAACATGAGGAAGAAAAACATGACGAACACCAACAAGAGGAAGTTAAAGAAGGTAGCGAAGAAAAAATCCTGAAAACTGAACCTCCATCAGAGACTGATCTTAGAGAGTTGAAGGAAAGTCTAGAACGGGACGAAGAACCACCTGAACCTCTGTCTAAAAAGCTTCTAAGAACAATCGGTAACTTCCAAGACACCAACAGAACTCCTTCCCCTGCCCAGACCCTAACTATGGCTGCCCTGAAGCAGGCCAGACAACGAAGAGTGGAAAAGGTTCAGAGACAAACCCAACTAAATGATCCAAATGTGAATGCAATAGAAATATTGTCTGGCAGCTGATTCTTTGATTCCTCCATATTTATATATTTTATAGAATTTATATTTACTGCTTATAAAAATACATATAAAAGTTAACTTGAATAGTTTCAAAAGAAGCATGTCTCAAGTTAAGTGATAATTTCTTTTTCTTCATTTTTACTTAAAATTATGTTTTTTTGCAAACAAATTGGTTTAAATTGTTTGAGAAAATTGCATATTGATTATTGGGCTTTTATTTTACTTCGAATCTAAAAATATTTTATTCTTTTTATGGGAAAACTAAATTATACACCCTGAATTTTTGAAACAGCACATTGTTACAATATTAAAGGCTAAAGAATATGGCATTGATTAAAAAAATGTATTAAAAAAAATATTTTTTCAATGAAAAACAGCATGCAAATTCAGTGCTCAACTTACAATTACAAGCATTCATGTGGATAAATAAGGAAAGGATACGTCTGTTATCTTTTATCAGTCAAAGGTTTAAATGGTACTCGTGTGAATCGGACACAGTAATCTACAAATGAGGGTTCAATTGAAACTATACCTGCAGTGCAGTCCCTCCAAAGATGCCATGGGGGCCAGCAAGTCTAATACTTCCTTTCATGATAACCAGTGCGTTTTTGCACAATAAAGACAAACCTTTACAGAATATAATCCAAATACAAGGACATATAAGTTTTTATTCTGAAACATTTGGGAAAAATAATGGATTTTTTCAAATAAGAAAACAGTCCCTTTAATTGATCAACGAAAACTACATAGAAAAGAGTACAAATAATCTATGAAAAATCGCGTTAAAATTAGTTTTATGGTGTTGCCGAAAAGTTGCTTTCCTCACGTTTAAATATGTATAAGTTTAAACTCAACGATTTATCATTAAAAATTCATAAAAGAATTCGGTATTGGGAACATGGGCTCTTTCCAATGACACACTATGTATTTGCGTTAAAAGGCCTTGAATATACAATTAAGCAAACATGAAGTTTCTTTAGAAAATAGTTTTAATTTCAACACTGACCTTCAAACATAAACTTTGAATAATAAAACTGATAAAATCTCAACTCGAACCTTGAATTTATAATTTCAGATTATTCTCAAGTTTAATTGTTTTCCTTCAATGCAACATTTCTCTTCTACCCCAAACAAAATGCAAACTTTAAAATTTATTGTTTCTCCAAAATTTGGCTGAATCAATATTTATAATTCTGTTCAAAAGATGATATTTCTTAAACATTTGAAAGCCCATCTTTCTGGTGTATAGAATTCCTCTTTCTGATATATAAATCCTTTTCTGGTGTATAGAATTCCTCTTTCTGATATATGAATCCTTTTCTGGTGTATAAATCTTTTTTCTGCTGTATAAATCCTTTTCTGCTGTATAAATCCTTTTCTGCTGTATAGATCCTTTTCTGATGTATAAATTTCTTTCTGATGTAGAAATCCTTATTTTGATGTAGAAATCATCTGTCTGGCGTAGAAATCAATTTTTCTTATTTATTTATCCTGTTTTTTTTCTGTAGAAATTCTTTTCTGAAGTAGTAATCCTCTTTATGATGAAGAAATCCTTTTATGTTGTATTGATCCTTTTTTTCTGTAGACATCCTCTTTCTGGTGTAGAAGTCATCTTTCTGGTGTCAAAATTCCCTTTATGGTTTAAAAATAATCTTTTTTTATGAAAAAATTCTCTTTTTGCTGTAGAAATTCTCTTTCTGATGTAAAAAATCATCTTTCTGACATAGCAATTCTCTTTCTGATATAGAAATTCTCTTTCTGATATAGAAATTCTCTTTCTGATATAGAAATTCTCTTTCTGATATAGAAATTCTNACGGAAAAAAGCTGAGAATATAAAATACCTCAGGTCTGATTTTCTTTAAACATGAATTTTAGAATCTTTGAGAGCTTTCCAATTGTATCTTACGTAACTTTTTAGTCTTTTTTTCTTTTTGAAATAAAGAAAGTCATGTACCTTGCAACCTGAAGTTTTTAAATTACTATTTACTTCTTGATCAGAAAAAAACGTTTTATATAGTCTTCATAACTTCTCAATATCTTAATTCGAATTTCATATATTTTATTATTTTTTTGAAAATATACATCCTCACGAGACAAATTTGCAACAAATATGTTGCAGAATATCTTTTAGCATTTTTCGTTATTAAATAAATTTCTCCGGGCAAGAAGTACACAAATTGAGATTTATTGATGTTTAGGGTAGTACAGGGTCGGATAGAAATAGTGTTTTAAGTTAGAGATCAAAGAAATTACAGGGTGTCTAAAAAAGTTAGTCAATATTTATTATGTAGGTTTAATAGGTATTGCAAATAATACGCAGAAAAGGTCGATTTACAAATTACTAAAAATTGATAGTGGTTAATTATTTACGAAAAAAATAAAAGGAAGAATAAAAATTGGAAATAATATGTTTAAAACCATAAACTCGTTTCTATTCATATTATCTGATAACTAGTTGGAACAACGTGCCACTGAATAAATATTATTAGGAAATAATCATCGCAAAATATAAACATTTTACATTTTTAGCAATTATTCACATAAGTTCAAAAGTTTCATGATCCGAACCAGTACAATAATTGCCTAATGTAGTGGTCCGGCTAGTGTACCCAGTATGTATTTGACCCAGCCCGTCTAGTGTACCTAGTATGCGGTTGACCCAGCCCGTCTAGTGTACCTAGTATGCGGTTGACCCAGCCCGTCTAGTGTACCTAGTATGCGGTGGACTCAGCGCGTTTTAAAATTAGGCGGCGGTACTATAGGGTCCTTCTTATTTACTGATAGGAGTAAGAAAACTAAAATTTACAATTGTAAAGGAAATCAAGAAGACTTTCAGAAGAATTGTAATTTGGGAAATTAAACTTTTTATATTTTTTTCCAGAAGTTTTAAATCTAGGAGTTTGTCCTTTCTGGAGTTTGTTTTTTGAAGAGTTTTATTTCCAAATTTTCTGATTTTTTATTTTATCCTTTTAGAATATTCTTTTAGGTTTGGGACCAGATTCAATGCAAAGCAAGTGGTAGCTGAACCGCGCAAACGTAGTTCAACAAATTCTCTTGTGCGACAGTTCAAACTTAAGAGAAGTGGTTGAACCTGATCTAGGTGGTTCAACCATGTCCTGCTATTAATTAAATATGGTACTTTTCGTCTTTATTTTATGAGTTTGAGATTTAGTTTGTTCTTTTAAAAAATTTCCTTTCAACAAATCGTCCATTCAAAAGTTGTTCTTTTTAGAAGTTTGTCCTGTAGAATTGTGATTTAAGAGAAAGACCAGGCATTGATCTCAATATCCACAATTATAAAGTTTAAGCTGAGGACCCCGTACTTTTATATTTATCTAAAAAGACGTCGACTGTACATTGCACAGTTTAAAAAAATAAAACTGTTCAATTTCTCTAGAGGTATTTAAATGATTTTCAATATTTAAAATCTTTACGTCATTTCTATTGACGTCATTGCGAAGGGTTTCGCATTATACAGTATGACATTGAAGGTGGGTGGATTCAGTTCAAAGCATGAATTCAGAGACAGAGCTAGAAAGTTCGATTTTGTTTAGATTTTGTTCAGAAAAAAAACTTATTCAGTGCAAGCGTTTACTGAACAGAATTTAAATAATAAACCCTGTAATTCTAACATTCAAAGATTTCTAAACTCCACTTCCTTCTTTCCCTAAATATTTAGAAAATTTTTAACAAAACTAAAATTTTAAACTACATCAATTTATTTATCAAATCGCATTAGTTTAAATATTTACGGTTCGGTTTTTATATGTCTCATCCTGTAGTTGCTGTTGTACCGAATGATACATTTGAGTAAAAGAATGGTAGACCTGTAATGATGTTTTATATACGGTTACCCACAATAGTAAGTATAGCCTTTAGGTGATCTATTTAGGGATTTGACAAAGAAAAAAACTATAGTTTCGAGTTTCTTTTATTTTACGTACTTATTAATATTTACACTTTTTCTTAAACTTTATTTGTATGTTTTTAGGTCAAATGACGTGGGAAGTCTGAGAACTAACCTAATTTCTTTTTCAATTTATTCGTATAATTAATGTTGGTCACGCTATACACCTTAAAGGAAAAAGAATAATAAAGGCGACATTTATTTTTCAACATTTAAGAAGACGACAGTAAAGTTATTCTAAATACGAAGACGACTATACTGAATTTCATAATTTTTCTAATATTCTTTATTCCTTGCAACTGTGGAGTCAAGACTGGTGTATATTTTACGTAACAAAAATGTTTTTATGACATTTTTTGGCGACAGAAAATCTTTTTTTTGCAACAAATTGTTCATTGAAAATACAGGTTTTCACCATTTCTTTTTCAATCCATTACTTCCATTTAGATCTCTGATCAGCCATTAAATTAAATTATTTAACTTATTTTGTTTGTTAATCATTAAAAGATTTTGTTCAAGACTATGGTTTCCAACGAACGAAAACTTTCACTAAAAAGGCTAAAATTCTTGTTGATATTTCGCGAAAATGAATTAAGCGAAGAAATGAAAAATTTATGCGAAATTTAGCGAAAACCATTTTTGTGAAAAAAGTGTTAAAGCGGCAACGATTAATTGCGCAACAAAATTTGTGAAACTTTTTGCTCTGAGAGCTCAGCATTAGAAGTTTTATTATTTCATGATAAATAATTTCTCTTCTTTTACTTTAACAAATGTTTGATGAATAGAATTTGATCTGTCTAGGAAAACTAAATGGCTCTAAAAGTCTCAATATAAAGCACCGCATATTTAGTTCACAATATTTCCCTTTCACCCTACAAAGAACGGGGAGGGGGGGGGGAGGGGCGGATGTATGAATATAAATTAAGATAAAGGGGTGGTGTGAGGTGTCATCTCCTCCTAGTCTTTTAATCAAAATCCGCATAGTCATTTTAAAAAATGCAAAAAGTAAGACGAAAAAATCGATAAATATATGCCTTTTTGAAACAGGGACATTTGGTCCCAAAGTTTCTCCATCTACTCCCTATTGTGAAAATAAAAGTACCCGATCCTAAACACTTTTCTGGGGATTTCATCTTAGGTGTGTAATTTATCCCCCCCCCCTCCCGGAA